CACTAACCCCATGGGAGTCTGACAACCAATCAGAATATATTTCTTACACAGGAACAGGAAGCAGAGAGGTGGGGCTGAACAAGTTATAAAAAGCCCAGCAAGCCCCTTCCTCGGCCCTTCTTCTCTTCTTCCTCACCCAACATCTAGAAGCATGTGATCACCTTTTCTGTTCAGGGCTCAAGCCATGTGGTCCTGTCCACCATTAAAACCATCTTTCCAAGCAGCCTCCATGTCTCCAGTGTCTTTTTTCCCACACTTGGAGTCGAACCCAGAAGGGCATTTCTTTCAACAGTTGCTTACTTTTTCTTTCATAATCACCTAGCCAAATGTGCATTCTTGCTCTCAGATGGACTCTGTTTGCGGATGGAGACCAGTAATGATCAGAGGAAATCTTTCAAGTTGTTTACACAACCAATAGTACTTGATGGGAAGGCCTGCTGTTGTCACTGCACTTCTCTTCAGTGTTGTTTTAGGTTTGGCTCCCACCCCAAACGACCTCCCTCTCAAAATCACCATTGCCTACCTTCTGAAGACACAACTTATTTTTAACAAGAAAACAAAAGATGCCAGTAACATCAAGTAGCAGGCAGGGGGAATTGCAATAGCACTTAGACATATACTTAACAGATAGTCCTCGACTTACAACCACAATTGAGCCCAGAATTTATGTGGCGAAGTGAGAAATTTGTTAAATGAATTTTGCCCCATTTTACGACTTCTCTTGCCACATTTGTTAAGTGAATCACTGCAATTGTTAAATTAGGGATATGGTTGTTAAGTGAAGCTGGCTTCCCCAGTGACTTTGTCAGAAGCTCACAAAAAAAGATCACATGACCCCGGGGACACTGCAGCTGTCATAAATATGAATCAGTTGTCAAGCATCCTAATGTGAATCATGCCACCGTGGGGATGCTGCAACGGTCCTAAGTGTAAAAAATGGTCATAAATCATTTTTTGTATGGTTGCAACTTCAGTCACTAAATTAACTGTTTTAAGTCGAGGACTACCTGTAGTGCTTTATAGTACTCTCTAAGCAGTTTACAGGGTCAGCATATTGACCCCAACAAACTGGGTTGTTTTACTGACCTTGAAACCAGTCAGGATTGAACTCCTGGCAGTGGGCTGCAATACTGCATTCTAACCACTGCGCCACCACGGAATGACTGATGTACCCAAATGGAAGAATAAGAATGAATGTTGGTCTGCAGAGGGAGAATACAGGGGGGAAAAGATGAGTACAGCTAGTCCCTTATTTACAGCAGTTCATTCAATGACTGTTTGAAGTTACAACTAACTTTTTCATCCTAACACATCGCTGCAACATCCTCATGGTCATATCATCAAAATTCGGACTCTTGGCAACTGACATATTTATGACTGTTGGTGTGTCCTGGGCTATGTGATCAACTTTTGTAACCTTCTGATAAACTAAGTTAATGGGGAAGCCAGATTTATTCAACAACTGTGCAACTAACTTAATAACTACAGGGATTCACTTAACAGTTTGGGAGTCCTCCTGGACCCACAGCTGACTTTTGAACATCATTTGTCGGCTGTGGCCAGGGGGGCTTTTGCCCAGGTTCGCCTGGTGCACCAATTGCGTCCCTACCTGAACTGGGAGGCCCTCACAAGTCACTCGTGCCCTTGGACCTCAAGACTGGACTACTGCAACGTGCTCTACATGGGGCAGCCCTTGAAGAGTATTCGGAGACTTCAGCTTGTCCAGAATGCAGCCGCGCGAGCGATTGCGACACCTATCCTCCGCGAGCTGCACTGGTTGCCTATTGGTCTTCGGATACGCTTCAAGGCGCTAGT